GGTGCCTGGGTGGCTCGGTCATTAAGCGTCTGCCTTCGGCTCAGGTCATGATCCCAGAGTCCTGGGATCGAGCCCCGCGCATCAGGCTCCCTGCTCTGCTTCGGGAAGCCTTCTTCTCCCTCTCCCACTCCCCCTGCTTGTGTTCCCTCTCTCGCTGTGTCTCTCTCTGTCAAATAAATAAATAAAATCTTAAAAAAAATAAATTAAAAAAATAAAGCAGGCACATAAAAATAGGACAGAAGGAAGGGTGAACTGAAAATAACCAAACTTCAAGACAGGAAACACAGGGGAACTTTAATCCTATGGAAAGAAGTAAGATCAGTCAAGTAAAGAGTGTTACATCAAATCACCTAGCACAAATAGACTTGCAAATAGCAACTTCATGAATGTATCAAGCATCTTACAATTTTTTGCCAATTATACCTCCATAAAGCTGAAATAATAAATATAAATATGCAGTTAGTATTTTGTAATTATGGATCAGAGTAGTTTCTCAATTTTTAACCCATGGTCCCTACAATGCTTTCTCACCCTATTTTCCATATATTCCACAAATCAAGACTTTGCCCAGTTTTACCTTCCACAGTCTGTATTATAAAAACAATAGATTTACTATGTTTTCAAATATGCACGCTCTCTCCTGGAGATTCTAATACAACTACAAATACAATACAAATACAGACTAAAGAGGACTCTGGACTGGTCAGTATACATCCAAAGGGACATAACCAGGCCTGGCTTTTAAGTCTGTATTTATAATTTATTTTCATTTTTAACTTTTTAAGGATTTTATTTATTTATTTGAGAGACAGAGAGAGAGAGAGAGAGAGAGAGAGAGCACAAGCCAGGGAGGAGGAGAAGCAGGCTCCCCGCAGAGCAGGGAGCTTGACAAGAGGCTCGACAAGAGGCTCGACAAGGGGCTCAACAAGGGGCTCAATAGGAGGACCCTGGGATCACGACCCCAGCCAAAGGCAGCTGTCCAACTGACCGAGCCAACCAGGTGCCACAGTAATTTTTTTTTAAGATTTTATTTATTTATTTGACACACAGAGAGAGAGCAGGAGCAGGGGAGTGGCAGGCAGAGGGAGAGGGAGAAGCAGGATCCCCACTGAGCAAGGAGCATGATGTGGGGCTCGATTCCAGGACCCTGGGATCATAACCCAAGCCGAAGGCAGCCGCTTAACAACCGAGCCACCCAGGTGCCCCTGTATTTATATATATATATTTTTTTAAAGATTTTATTTATTTATTTGACAGAGAGAGACACAGCGAGAGAGGGAACACAAGCAGGGGGAGTGGGAGAGGGAGAAACAGGCTTCCCGCAGAGCAGGGAGCCCGACACGGGGCTCGATCCCAGGACCCTGGGATCCTGACCTGAGCCGAAGGCAGACGCTTAACGACTGAGCCACCCAGGCGCCCCCCTGTATTTATAATTTTTAAGAAAAAAATTACTCACAATAAAGATTAAGGGTCCTGATAATTTCTAAGACTTGTATTTTTTTCTAAAGGCTATTTTGTTTAGATTTTTTCCTAATCATCTTTCTATTCATTATATATTTTTATCATTATATTTTTTTAGAGAGAGAGCAGGCCCACGCAAGCCTGTGTGTGCGCATGCGGGGGAGGGTGGAGACAGAGGGAAAGGGAGAGAGAGAATCTTAAGCAGGCTCCAGGACTTAGTGGGAGCCTTTCACAGGGCTTGATCTCACAACCCTGAGATCATAACCTGAGTGAAATCAAGAGTCAGACGCTCTAACCAACTAAGCCACCCAGGTATCCCCATTATATTTTTAGTTACTTTCCATATTCTATACTTCCTACACAAAGTAATTAGCCTCTGATTACTCCCTTAACAGAAATTTTCTATCTTCCATCTTATTCCCCAAAGTTAAATAACTTTAAGTAAATGACAAAAATAAAAATCTATGTACATTCAAAATCATATTAACCACTAAGGGAAATCTATATAGATAGCATCCTCCCCCTGCCAAAAAAAAAACCCACCTTTTTTTAACCTTTTTTTTTTTTTTTTTTAAAGATTTTATTTATTTAGGGGTCCCTGGGTGGCTCAGTCGTTAAGCGTCTGCCTTCAGCTCAGGTCACAATCCCAGGGTCCTTCCTGGGATCGAGCCCCACGTCCCGTTCCCTGCTCCACAGGGAGCCTGCTTCTCCCTCTCCCTTTGCCTCTCCCCCTGCTTGTGCTCTTTCTCGCTATCTCTGTCACTATCTGTCTCTGTCAAATAAATAAAATCTTAAAAAAAAAAGATTAAGATTTTTATTTATTTGACAGACAGAGACAGAGGGAGAGAGGGAACACAAGCAGAGGGAGTAGGAGAGGGAGAAGTAGGCTTCCTGCTGAGCAGGGAGCCTGATGCGGGGCTCGATCCCAGGACCCTGGGATCATGAACTGACCCGAAGGCAGACGCTTAACGACCGAGCCACCCAGGGCCCCCCCCACCTTTTTTTCAGTCTACAAACCACATGCTAAAGATCTACAAGATAGACTGCTGTGCTCCTCACCTCTAACACCCATACTTCACTTCTCATACCTGACCACCTTATTCCCAAGATATCCAAAGTTACCTCTAGTGTACAATCTCTAAGGTCTGCCTCTCTGTCCATTCTACTTACAATTACAACAAACTTGTCCTTTTAGGACAATGCTTCCCTAGTTGTGGTGCATAACAAAGAAAAAGTCAAAAGAGAAAACAGGATCAACAAGATTGTACTATCTCAAAAGCTCTGCTTTATAAAAACAGCTAAATTCCTCAGGGATGTCATTATATATTTAGGTGATCAAGGTGTTTTTTGGTTTTTGTTTTTGTTTTTAAAGATTTTATTTATTTATTCATGAGAGACAGAGAGAGAGAGAGAGAGGCAGAGGGAGAAGCAGGCTCCCAAGGAGCAGGGAGCCCGATGCGGGACTCGATCCCAGGACCCTGAGATCATGACCTGAGCGGAAGGCAGAGGCTTAACCATCTGAGCCACCCAGGCGCCCTTTAGGTGATCAAGGTTTTTTGTTTCTGTTTTGTTTTTGCTTTGTTTAAAGAATGAGCATAACTTTGTGCACAGTTCTAAAATCACTGTAATAATTCTTAAGATCTCTGGCACACTATATACTACAGATCTAATTCCAAATCATTTCATCACCATCACTGCCACCCTTAAAATTTAAAACATGTACGACTATTAACTAAATATTTGAGTAATGCTTTTTATAACTAGGGTATTTATATAGGGCAAATATAAGATCAGTAGGGAGATGGTCCAGTGTAATGAATGAGCATTCAAGTTCTGTGGAATCTCAACTCCATTATCCGTCTGTCTGGTGTCCCTAGTTATTGAAACCAATCTATATACTCTATATTTAATCAGTCTTTTGGAATAATTTTACTATCTTACAGTAATTATGAATCTTATCTTGATTTTTCAGATTGTTCATAATAACCTTACATCAATCCATAGCTCTCACACATCCACACACATACCCTCCATATCATACATGTATATATACATATATAATTAATTTTATTTATCTGTTGCTACACTATTGGTCAGAAATACAACCCCATTTTGGGGCGCCTGGGTGGCTCAGTCATTAAGCGTCTGCCTTCGCCTCAGGTCATGATCTCAGGGTCCTGGGATCAAGCCCCGCATCGGGCTCCCTGCTCGGCGTGAAGCCTGCTTCTCCCTCTCCCATTCCCCCTGCTTGTATTTCCTCTCTCGCTATCTCTCTCTCTGTCAAATAAATAAATAAAATCTTAAAAACAGAAAAAAGAAATACAACCCCATTTTAATCGTGTTCCCTAAAACAGGACAGCTCTACAATGCAGGTACACACAATGAAACAAGCAGCAGATACTGCTTATTTTCGTAAATAATTTTATTCTTTCCTTGCTGAAACTCTGTTCCTAGAACATTTGACCTTAATGCCTATGAAATAAGTTTCTTAAGACATACTTCTCCTAGCCCTGTTGATCTTATATGCTACATTTCTTAATTTAGGTCAAAGTTACTTCCATTTGTCAAATTACTAATTTTCTGATCTCATTATTCTGAAATATTAAAAATATACTTTTATCTACTTCCTCTAATTTTACTTCTAAATAGTCCCTCCTGGGCGCCTGGGTGGTTCAGTTGGTTAAGCCACTGCCTTTGGCTCAGGTCATGATCCTGGAGTCCCAGGATGGAGTCTGGCATCGGGCTCCCTGCTCAGCAGGGAATCTGCTTCTCCATCTGCCCCTCCCCCCTCTCATGTGCGCTCTCTCTCTCTCTAATAAATAAATAAAATCTTTTTAAAATAAATAAATAAATAAATAAATAATAGTGCTTCCTACAGATGGAAATCTTTTGAATACAGAGGTTTAGTTTAATTCCTCCCTTTATAGATGATAAACCAAACCAAAGTGAGTAGGATGGTTTTTTTACATTTTGGCTACTAGGAAAAAAAAAGTTTTAGTATCACCATTCTCCTTCTAAAATTCATTTTTACTAAGATTGAGGCCTTACATTTGCCAGAACCAAATAATAATACCAAGCCAGTAATATACTGACCCCTTCAAGAACTCACTCAGTACTCTACTTAATAAACTAGCCTTTCCATCTTTTAGATACTATTTTTCACATATCTAGTTAGGCATGAAATGCTTATTATGAATGAACAAATATGTTAATTAAAGGAAAATCTAGGGGTGCCTGTGTGGCTCAGTTAGTTAAACATCTGCCTTCAGCCTGGGATTGAGCCGCAAGTCAGACTCCCTGCTCAGCAGGGGGCCTGCTTCTGCCTCTCCCTGTGCCACTCCCCCTGCCTGTGCTCTCCAGCTCTGTCAAATAAACAAAATCTTTTAAAAAAAGGAAAATCTAAACAGCAGATGCAAGTTTTTCCTACTTGTCACAATTTCCTAATGATTAGACTAGTTTATCCAAAGAGATCATAATTCAAAAGTACTCTTAAGATTCTAGAGACTTAATGAACATAATTAGGGTTGTGGTCTGCTTACCTATAATTAAAATTTGCCATCTTTTTGATAAAAAGAAAAAGTCTTGAGGTATTCATCAAGTAGAAGAAAGTGTAACAGCCTTCTGTGAAGCAGCAATTTCCTCACCACCAAAAAAATTTCTAGAGTTTATCTTTCAGAAGGAAACTATCAGCACAGTCACAATTATGAAGAGAGACTGTTAAGTGAAAACACTCAATAAATAAAATGTGCTTTTATTTATTCACTAACTTTTTCACATTTCCAACTAAAACAGAAATACAAGCTTAAGACTCATCAATCCCCTATCACATCAAATTTACAAAACAAATGCACAAGGTTTACAAAAATGCATAAGATTGAATAAACAGCAGGATCCAAATGTGGGGAAATAAATTAAAAAGACTGGATGATAACAAAACATTAACAGATATAGTTGAGGGGTGAAATACGTGATTTCTTATTTTCTTCTTTATACGTTCCTATAATCTTCCAAATTCTCCCACAGTTTACATTTATTACTTTCATAATCAGTAAAAAAAAACCTCATTTAAAAAATAAACCGTATATCATATAAAAAAGGTTCATTTAGAAGGGTTCTCCATATTATACAAGTATTACTGACATGATTCACCATTAAAGATAATGTCTCCACACTTTCAAACTTTCCAACACTAACATGCTGTTTGAAAGTCCTATTACTTTTCTGCTGCGTCTCCTAATGTTTCATTTCTACATACATACACGCTTTTCATTTTTTCATACAACACAATGAAAGTCTCACTGATTACTTAAATCCTACCTCTAAGCCTCGTTATTGAAAAAGGAAAAAAAAAAAAAAAAGATGGTTTTACCTACTAATTACAACTTCGTGTACCCACCATCACTTTAGCTACGGAAAAGTCAAGGCCGGGTAAACTACACGTCCCACCATGCATTGCTGCCTTGTTCAGAGTAGGTCCCTACGGAAACAGAAAAAAAAAATTCTACAAGTCCCACCTGTTACTTCGTTTCTAAACACCTCTTGCACTTTCAGCTTTCAACAGCAAACAAAAACATGAGCCTCGTGACCTCACGTTGGATCTGGGAGCCCAGACGAGCGGGGGACCCGGGGTCAGGCGGCATGTCCGCTATAGCGGGTAAATTCTACCAAGATCCAGCGCTCCTCTCTTCTTTCCGGGGCTGGGTGCACGCACAAGCCTTCTCCTATCTGCATCCAATGGGGGCTCTTCAGCCGCACAAGGGAGAAGAACCGGTTACTGTGCAAGCACAACAGACTTCCCCAGGCCGGGGCGGGAGCTACCACAGAGTGGAGGTGAGAGCGACGTGACCCCGAAAGGCAGCTTCAAAACACCAAGGGGACTCGTCGCAGACGCAGGGAGAAGCCACAGCCCCGCGGCGACCCTCTTCCGCTGGGCGCCTCCATTTCCACAGGGATCACAACCCCGACACTAACCGCCGCCCTCTCCGCGCGGTTTTGTGCCCCCTTCAGCCGGGTCGCTGAGCCAATGACCTCCCTTCCCCTGCGACCGGCAGGCGGCGAGGGAACAAAATTCTCCCGGGCTTCCCCTTCGCTCCCTCCCCCTTACCGTCTTGGCGGCCTCCGCCCAGGTCCTGCCCTTCTTCCTACGGCCCTTTTCCCTCATGTCGGGTCTTGAACTGACTGGGAGGCTCCCGTGTCCGGGCTCCGGCCGCCCTCCCTGCCTGCTCTGCCCTGCGATGCTTTTCCCGCGGTGCCGGGAAAGGTGGGAGAAAGGGGAAGTCAGGGCGGAGGAGCACCCAAGCAGAGGAAGCGACGGGGGTGGTGCGCGGGGGGGCGGGGGTCTATGGGGCGGCCGGTCCTCCTGCTGCCGTTGCCACTGCTACCGCCGCTGCCATATTGGGTCCTTACTGTACAGGCAGCCGCTACGGTCACGTGACCGCTCCCGCGCGACCGTCACTACTGTACGCAACCGGCCGCGCGAGCATGCGCGCGCGCGCCCCCGCCTCCCGCGAGGGCCTGCAGGGCGAACGAGCCGGCGGTCAGCTGCGTCTCCTCCCTCCCCCGCCCTTCCGCTCTCCGCCTATCCTTTGGAGCATGCGCGGGAGGGAGGTCCGACGCTGAAGTGCGTCGGCCGTCCTGTGCTCACGCCTACAGAAAAAAATCTGCCTGCGGAAGCGGAACTTGATCCGTCCCGGAAGGTTTATTGAGCGGATTCTGACCGCGTGCTGGGCGCAGCGGTGGTCTTAGAGCCTTGGAAGAGCCAGACTTTTCACTCAAGGGGCGACCCTCCCAGCTCTCACTTTCAACAAGCCTCGTCCTTGGGTTTTTTCGTTTGTCCATGTTCATTTTTACAAAAGTTGTCTTTTTGACGATTTGCAACAGTTCTCGTCTGCTTATTAACCAATTTCGATAGATGATAGATGAGTTTGAGTGACTTGCCAAGCTCGCCTGTCTAGGATGTGGAGAAACCAAGAATCAAGTCGCCAGCTCAGAGACCTTTTTCCATCTCCCACAATGCCTCTCAAACTTACATGAACCCCCCCCCCCCTTTTTAAAGGCCACCAGTAATTACATTCAGGCTTCTTCAAGTGAAGAGTCTCTCATCGAGGACCATGGTGTCTTTTTTATCTGGGTGACCTCAGTCACTGGCACAGTGCCTGTAAATATCAGGCACCCAGTAAATATTTGCTGAACGATTCAGCTATGTCTGTGGTCAGAAATCATTATTTGTAGTGTCCATAAAAGCCTCCTGAAGAATCCAGAATGTGGTGTATTCCATCGTGTTATCCGTGTTTTTATACTTTGCAAAGTAAAAAGAATATGTGTACTAACACTTACTGTTCTCCAAAATACATCTGCTTCCAGAAGTTGCTTCTGGTCTAGTTTGGTAAACCTAGCCCTCTACTGTATTCTAAAATAGGACTGAGAGGCAATAGTTAGCTTGGAGGCCATGGTTTGGTGTCAGAAGTTCATGGACCACCTCAAATTATGAACAATCTTTTGTGTGTAACTGTGCATTTTTGAAAAGAGGATTTAGGGGACTCCTGGCTGGCTCAGTTGGTAGAGTGTATGACTCGATCTTGGGTCTGACTTCCAGCCCCACATTGGGCATGGAGCCTACTTAAAATTAATTTAAAAAGAAGGATTCATAAATTCAATTTTTCAAAACGGGCTGTTACACATACACACAAAAAATCTTAAGAGGGAGTTTGAGAGGCCATCTAGATACTTCCTTATATTTTTCCTTCAGTCATTGATCAAACAGCTCCATAACAGCAATTGACATGCGTATATTTTCACAAATCCTTTTAGGAACTCATAACACTATCCATAGCACTCAAGATATGTACCATCTCCCTCCAAACCCTACGTCTTAAGGCACCTGGCTGACTCAATCAGTAGAGCAATAGAACATGCAACTCTTGAGGTTGTGAGTTTGAGCCCCACCTCGGATGTAGAGATTACTTAAAAATAAAGTCTTTGGGGACGCCTGGGTGGCTCAGTTGGTTAAGTGTCTGCCTTTGGCTCAGGTCATGATCCCAGGGTCCTGGGAATGAGTCCCACATCAGGCTTCTTGCTCAGTGGGGAGCTTGCTTCTCCCTCTGCCTGCCACTCCCTCTGCTTGTATTCTCTCTTTCTCTCTCTCTTTAACAAATAAATAAAATCCTTAAAAATAAATAAAGTTTTGGGGGTTGGAGCACCTGGGTGGCTCAGTCAAGTTGAGCGGGTGCCTCCGGCTCAGGTCATGATCCCAGAGTCCTGGGATTGAGCCCAGCATTGGGCTCCCGCCTCAGCGGGAGTCCGCTTCTCCCTCTGCCCCTCACTCCACTTGTGCTCTCTCTAATAAATAAATAAAATCTTAAAAAAAAAAATCTTTGTGGGACGCCTGGGTGGCTCAGTCAGTTGGACATCTGCCTTCGGCTCAGGTCATAATCCCAGGCTCTAAGGACCGAGTCCTGCATTGAGCTCCTTGCTCAGTGGAGAGCCTGCTTCTCCCTCTGCCCCTCTCTCTGCTTGTGCTGCTCTCTCTCTCTGACAAATAAATAAGTAAAATCTTTTAAAAAAATAATAATAAAATAAAATAAAAAATCTTTGGGACACCTGGGTTGTCAGTCAGTTAAGCGTCGGATTCTTGATATCAGCTCAGGTCTTGATTTCAGGGTTGTGAGCTCAAGCCCTGCATTGGGTTCCACACTGGGTGTGGAGCCTACTTTAAAAAAAGAATTTTTTTTTTAAGAAATAGAACAGGCGGCTTGACTTTCTCTCCCTCTCACTCTGCCTCTGTGCTCTCTCTGTCTTTCTCAAATAAATAAATAAAGTCTATAAAAAAAAAAAAGCTAACCAGTGTTGGGGCACATGACTGGCTCAGTCAGTAGAGCATTTGACTTTTGATCTCAGGGTTTTAAGTTTGAGCTGAACATTGAGGGTAGAGACTATTTAAAAATAAGATCTTGGACACCTGGGTAGCTCAGTCAGTTAAGCATCGGACTTTTGGTTTCGGCTCAGGTCATGATCTCAGAGTCATGAGATCGAGCCGCACATCAGGCTCTGCGCTCAACAGGGAGTCTGGTTGAGATTCTCTCTCTCTGCCCTTCCCCCCACTTGCACTTGCTCTCGCTTGCTCTCAAAATAAATAATTTTTTTTTTTTAGATATTTATTTATTAGAGAGAGTGTGCGCACAAGCTGGGGGGAGGGGCAGATGGAGCAGGAGAAGCAGACTCCCCACCGAGCAGGGAGCCTGACACGGGCTCGATCCCAGGACCCAAGGGTCATGACCTGAGCCAAAGGCAGACACTTAACCAACTGAGCAACCCAGGTGCCTCTCAAAATAAATCTTTAAAATATATATGTATTATAGGGCGCCTGGGTGGCTCAGTCGTTAAGCGTCTGCCTTCGGCTCAGGTCATGATCCCGGGATCCTGGGATCGAGTCCCACATCGGGCTCCCTGCTCTGCGGGAAGCCTGCTTCTCCCTCTCCCACTCCCCCTGCTTGTGTTCCTGCTCTCTCTGTGTCTTTCTCTGTCAAAAAAATAAATAAAATCTTTTAAAAATAATAATAATAATAAAATATATATGTATTATAGATAGATATACTTTGCCTCCTTACATATGTTTATATAGATATTATATATAAACAGATAGAAAATGTAGACAGTAGATATAGATAATAGATTCATAGATAGATACATAGATACAATAGATAAATATATCTCCTTGTTGATCAGGCCAGGGTCCAAATGGGCAGTATCTAATGAGAGCACCTATGTTGGAACATAGCTTCTATCATGATGGCCACGGGCCACATGCCAGATCCATCAGGGGTAGAGATGATCTTTTCAACATCTTTTATGAGGCAGGCATTGGAAGAAATATTGCTAGAACAATTTTGTAAAGAATCAACTCTCTTTCATGAAGCTGTTACTGGAACTCTTATCATGGTTAAGAAAGATGACACTAGTTCTTGTACATCTGTAGGAAATCATCATTGGCCAAGAAATTAGAGTTTTTGGCTTTCCACAGGATGGGGTGAGGGAGGAGTCATTCTGGTTTCACTTCCTTGCTCAGATAAGCAAGAAGTCAAGACTAGCAATTCTCGAGGCCAGTTCCTCAGGTTTTCACAATCACAGCTATCCCAACCTCTCTACCCACATGGCCTGGATTTCTGATTGTCCCTTCAAAGTAGACAATGATGTTATTATATATGGAACAGAATCTTGGACGTTGAACCCCTAGTTCACATAATCTTTAACTTCCTCATTGGGTAACAGCTCCATTGTAGAGCCAAGTCTGTCTGATACCAGGATCATTTCCTATCCAGTTTTCCCAGTACATTTTATTAAAGAAACTACCCTTTTCCCAGCATATATTTTTGGCTCCTTTGTCATAAATTAATTGACAATATATGTGTGGGTGTTTTTCTGGGCTCTCTATTAGGTTCCATTGACCTATGTGTCTTATATCTCAATATCATACTGTTTTGATTACTATAGCTTTGTAATATAGCTTGAAGTCAGGAAGTGTGATGCCTCCAGCTTTGTTCTTCTTTCTCAAGATTGCTTTGTCTATATAGGGTCTTTTGTGGTTTCATACAAATTTTAGAATTGTTTTTCATATTTCTGTGAAAAATGCCATTGGAATTTTGATAGAGATTGTATTCAATCTAGATAGTTTTGGGTAGTAGGGACATTTTAACAAACAACAATCTTTCCAACCCATGAGCACAGAATACCTTCTCATTTATTTGTGTCTTCTTCTATCTTTTTCATCAATGTCTTATAGTTTTCAGTGTTCAGATCTTTCACCTCATTGGTTAGATTTATTCCTAGGTATTTTATTCTTTTTGATGCTATTATAAATGATGTTGTTTTCTTAATTTCCCTTCCAGATAGATCACTGTTATTGTGTAGAAACACAAATGATTTTTATATATTGGATTTGTTTTTTTAAAAGATTCATTTATTTATTTGAGAGAGAGAGAGAGCACAAGCAGAGGGAGAGGGAGAAGCAGGCTCCACTATGAGCAAAGAGCCTGAAGCAGGGCTCAGTCCCAGGACCCTGGGACATGACCTGAGCTGAAGGCAGACGCTTAACCGAGTGAGCCACCCAGGCGCCCCGTATATATTGGTTTTGTATGCTGCAACTTTACTAACTTGCTTATTCTAACAGTTTTTTGGTGGGATTTTTAGGGTTTTCTACATATAATGTCATGTCATCTGCACATAGAGACAATTTTACTTCCCTTCCAATTTGGTTACCTGTTATTTCTTTTTCTTCCTAATTGCTCTGGCTAGGACTTCCAGTACTATGCTGAATAAAAGTGGCAAGAGTGGGCATCCTTGGGGCACCTGGCTGGCTCAGTCAGTAGAGCATGTGGTTCTTGATCCAGAATCATGAGTTTGAGCCCCACATTGGGTGTAAAGATTACTGGGGGGGGGAGGGAGGTAAATTAAGTAAAAAGAAAAAGAGTGGGCATCCTTGTCTTGTTCC